GATTCTCTTGGGGTGCCTGGGTGGCTCAGCTGGTTAAGTGTCCGACTTTGGCTCCGGTCACAATATTGCGGTTCGTGGGTGTGAGCCCCGCATGGGGCTCTGTGCTGACAGCTCCCAGCCTGGAGCCTGCTTCAGATTCTGTGTCTTCCTCTCTCTCTTGGCCCCTCCCCCACTCGTGCTCTGTCTCACTCTCTCTCTCTCTCAAAAAAAAATAAACATTAAAAAAATTTTTTAAAGCTTTTCTAGGGTAGTGTCAGGGTGGCTCAGTTAGTTAAGTGTCTGACTTCAGCCCAGGTCATGATGTTATGGTTGTGAGTTTGAGCCCCGCGTCGGGCTCTGTGCTGACAGCTCTGAGCCTGGAGCCTGCTTCGGATTCTGTGCCCCTCCCCTGCTCATGCTCAGTCTCACTCTCTTTCTCAAAATAAATAAACAATAAAAAAAAAAAGATTTTCTATACATCACTGGCTTTGAACAATTTGATGATAATGTGAATTGGTGTTATTTCCTTGTTTGTTCCTTGTGCTTAGGGCTTTTTTAACCTTCTTGGGTATGTGACATCATATGTGACATCATAATGTCCTCAAATTTGGAAAAACATTTGGACACTATTCCTTCAAGTGTTTGATCTGTCCCCTCCTCTTGCTCCCTTATCTTCCGTCCTGGAAGTCCACTTACACATTTATAAGGCAGTATGAAGTTGTCCCAAAACTCCCTGGTGCTCTCTTAATGGTTTAAATTACTGTCTTTTCTCTATTATTTATTTGCATAACGTCTATTGCTAAGGCCTGAAGTTTAGTAATTATTTACTGCAATTCCCAATCTGCTCTTAATCCCATCCAATGTACCTGTCACATTGTAGTTTCATCTTTAGTTCAATTTCTGTTTTCTGAAATATTTCCCATTGCTTCTTGGCCTTTTGGCTAAGATCAAAGCATCAAATATTTTCCATGTCCTTGCTTAACTTTTTGAACATCTGAAATTCCTTTATGTAGAACTGTTTCATATCCTAGTGTGTTATTTCTAACATTTGTGCCAGTTCTGGATCAATTTCAATGGATTCATTTCCTTCTCATTACAAGTCATAGAGTCCTCCTTATTTACATGCCTGCTAAATTTTGATTGGAGGTCTGATTGCAAATTTTACCTTGTTTAATGTGGGCTATTTTGTATGTCTATAAATGTTCAGTAATTTTTTCAGTACACCTGAAATAACTTGGAAACAACTTGACCACTTAAGATTTCCTCTCTGGTTGTCCATTTGTTTGGTGAACTGGAGCAACATTAAGTCTAGAGCTACTTACTTCCCATCACTGACAAAAGGCTCTTTTGCGTACTAAACTAATGACCCATGAATCCCTAGGTTCTTCAGTGTGACTGATTTCAACAGGCACTATTACTACCCAAGTCTAAGTGATGAGGGAGCATCAGGCAGG